CTCTCTCTCTCCCTCTCTCCCCCTCTCTCTCTCCCCCTCTCTCTCTCCCTCTCTCCCTCTCCCTCTCTTTCTCTCCCTCTCTTCATGAATTGCCCTGACCTTCTCCCAACTCACATCTGTGCGTTTTCCAACTCCAGTGAGCAGGAGGCCCTGATCGCCAATGGCCAGCCCATGGTGGCCGTGCAGTTCCGCAGTCTCTTTTTGCAGCTGTGGGCCCTGTTCCCCGGGTTCTCCAAGCTCCCAAGCGATTTGGAGCACTTCCGCAACATCGCCCGCGATGTGGGCACCTTGATCCAGACGGAGGATGACCTGCTGATTGATGCGTGCCACGGGCTGCAGGCCCTGGTGTCTTCTGGCCTGGGTGCGTCGGAGGAGCGGGCGGCTCATGTCCGCGCGGTGCTCGGCCCCTTCGCCAAGAACTACATGCCGCTGCTCTTCAACCGGATTATGGGCGCGGCGTCGCAGTTCCAGGACCCGCTGGTTGGGACCATTCGCGAGTACTCGCGCCTGACGGATCCCGAGGTACATGCAAGCACATGCGCACGCCGGCGCCGCGCACGCGCGTGTGCCCCCCCCCCCCTCCCCCCCTCCCCGGACTGGGCATTTTGCTTGTCCCCTCCCCTCTCCCCCGTCGGGCTTTTATCTTTTTATTTTTATTTTTTTTCACCAACCAGCCGTATGCGCTGGAATGTCCCCCTCTCGTGTCTCTCACCTTCTTCCCCTCCCTCCTCCCCCTCCCCTCGGCGTTAGCTTCTTGACTCCTTCGTTAGCCGGTGCATTGCTCGCCTGACCAGCGCCGAGTCCGACGACAACACTCGGGACATGATGCTCACCCTGTCGATCGCCATGTCCCCTTCGATGAACCTCGAGTCTAAGGCTCGCATTTTCCAGGCACTGCCGACCTTCCTGGCGTGCGAGGATGCCATGCTTCAGAAGCGCGCCTACCGGTGCCTGCTCACCGTGTCCGATAATGTCGGGCATATGGTCATCAGTTCGGCGCAGGCCTCGGCCGTGCTCGGGTCCCTTCTGACCCTGGAGTCGGTCAGTGCCGGTGCCAAGCGCGACCGTCTGCGCTGCATGCTGGCTCTGCTTACGCGCATGGATGATCCGGCCTTCCTGGCGGCCGTGCCGTCTGTCATGCCGGAGGCCATCCTCGGCTGCAAGGAGGTCAACGAGAAGACCCGCCGCACGTCCTACGACCTGCTGACCGATGTCGGCAAGCGCATGGCTCAGCTCGGCTCGACCCCCCTGTGCCTGGAGAACCCGGATGCCAGCCTGAATGGCTTCTTCAAGATGACGATTGCCGGCCTGGCGGCCAACAGCCCGCACATGATCAGTGCCACGGTTTATGCCCTGTCGACCCTGGTCTTCCAGTTCTGTGGTACGTGTGGCCGGCTGTTTGTCTGGGTTTCGTCTTCCCATTGATCTTTTCTCCCTCCTCCCCTTTCTTCTTCCTCCTCTTCTTCCTGTTGATGCCGCGATCCCTTCTCCACTGCTCACATTGGCCCCCCCCCCCCCCGACGCCGTGTCGCATTTCCATGCACTCACCTTCTCCTCTTCCCGTCCCTTGCTCCATGGTGACAGATCAAATGGAGCTCAGCACCTTGTCGGTTGTCATCGACACCATCCTGCTGATCCTCAAGTCCAAGACCAAGGAGAATGTCAAGGCCGCCATCGGCTTTGTCAAGGTGATGGCCGTGCGGGTGCCGGCCGAGCGCCTGGGTGCCCACCTGCCGGGCATCGTCGAGGGCCTGCTGGTGTGGGCCGATGAGCACTCGCATCACTTTAAGATTCGCGTGCGGGAGATCATCGAGCGCCTGGTGCGGAAGTTTGGTTACCAGATTATCGGCAACCTCATCCCGGCCGAGCACCAGAAGCTGCTGGACTACATCCGGAAGTATCGTGTTCGGGAGTCGGTCTTCGGCGAGGGCAACACCGCCGAGGACAATGAGGAGACCATGGCCTTCGACTCGTCGCTGTCCATCGGCGGCCGGTCGGCCCGGCGCCTGGCCTCCACCTCGACCCTGGGTCGGAAGCGCGGCCGCGGCGAGGAGGAGGATACCCTCGAGGGGCTGGAGGATCTGGCCATCGAGACCGACAGCGAGGATGAGGCGGTGTCCGTGCACACCACCCGCACGGCCCGGTCCATGGCCCGGTCGCTTAAGTCCACTCAGTCCGCCAAGACCACCAAGACCACGGCCACCAACAAGACCTCCAAGTCGGTGGCCATGTCGGTGTCCGGCAAGTCGGTGTCCGGCAAGTCGGTGTCCGGCAAGTCGGTGTCCGGCAAGTCGGTGTCCGGCAAGTCGATGGCTGCTACCACCCGGTCCTCGGGGGCCCTGTCCACCATGAGCAAGTCTGTGCGTGGCAAGCGCGCGCCGCAGCCCACCCCCCTGCAGCGGGCCATGGAGGATGCCTCCAAGTACAAGTCCAAGCGTGGCTTCGGTGATGTCAAGATTGCCGACCAGCCCGACCCGTATGCCTACCTGCCGCTGAACCCCATGGCCCTGTCCAAGCGCCGTGGTACCAAGCACAATGTCGAGATGCAGGATGCCCTGAGCGTCGCGCTCAAGAGCAACCCCCGCGGTGCCAAGGCTCGTGCCCTGCAGCCGGAGCGCAAGCGTCGCCGCAAGTGAGCTGCATGGCGTGCGTGCGTGCGTGCGTGCGTGCGTGCGTGCGTGCGTGCATGCGTGCGTGTGTTTGCACCTGTGCTTGAGCGTGCCTGGCTACATTCGGAGGGAAGGAAAGAGGGGGGACATCCGTGGGAACATCCCCTCTCTCCCCCTGGGGAGCGGCGTGTTTGTCCTATTGTCGCTGGCTTCACTGCGTGCAAATGTGTCCTCGCTTTTTGCCCTTCCCATTTCCCTTTGTCGTCGGCGCGGGAGCCGGCCTCTCCCCTCTCCCTCCCTTTTCCTTCTCTCTTTCTCTCTCCCTCTCTCTCCTTCCACATACCCTCACCTGTGGGGGCTATGTGGCTCAAATAGATTAATAAAAGCCGCGAGACCCCCCCCCCCCCCTGAAAGCACAACGAGGGAGAGGACAAGCCGCAGATCAACAGAGGCATCTATGGAAGAAGGGGGGCAGGACACTCTTACTTTCTCATGCGATCGAGAAAGCTGTTGGTGAGGACGACTGGGCTCCTCCTGGGGTCAAGCTCCGGTAGGGGGGAGCCGGATCCAAAGTCCATCGAAGCGGGCCACTTGTTCCTGATCCGCAAGGATTTCCTTGCGCTCACGCAGAGCCGGCTTGAGAGCCTTATCGGCGAAGAGCTGGAACTGGTCATTGACATGACCTTCAGCGTGTGTGTGTGTGTGTGTGTGTGTGTGTGTGTGTGTGTGTGTGTGTGGCCACACGCATGTAGCAAAGTATCTGTGTTAGTTTTGATGGGCAAATGACGCGACAAGCGGCCGAGAGGGGTGGGTCAGGAGGAAAGGCAAGTATTGCCAGCAGCCATCGTACCATAGACTCGTGCACCGCGAGAACCCGGCGTAGCATTGCCATACGGCATACAGGTAGCGGCGATCGGCCGGGACCGGATAAAGCCATCGGCGTCCACTTCCCGGTTGTCGGCCATATAAGCCAGGAGACCGGTGTACGAGTCACCACCATATGGCCCGATGTCGGCCTCCTTCCACCAGAGGCTTCGGAAAGTGTCGAAGGTGCCGTGCGCCGGAAGGACCAAGCGCTGATCCTCGTCCTCGGGCGGGGCCGTGTGCTGGTAGGCATAGAACTTGTGCATGTCACCCCAGGAGGCATCCAGGGGGTGCCCGGCGGCGGCCACGGCATCGGCCGCGCGCAGGACCGATTCCACCGCTGCCGTCAGGTCGGAGAGAGTGTGCGGCGTGTTGAGCGGATCCTCCGCCAGCCAGGGCACCAAAAAGTACACCCCACGCTGCTTGCGCAGGTACATCTCAAACAGGAAGGACCCAGGCGATACGGCATCGTATGTCCGATCCCAGGAGGTCCAGATGGCATGGATCTCGGCCAGACGGGGATCGGCCTGCGAGCCGCGATTGGCCAGCTCCTGGCCAATGGCCTCCAGGAGCTCGTCCAAATAGTGCAATGCCGCCTCCTTCAACGTCGAGTGCTTGTGCCGGACCATGGTGTCAAAGTCAAAGCGGTCCTCCATGTGGAGCAGGCGAACCGACACTTGGGGGCTAAGCACACATGCCAGGTCAGAAAGGAAGCCCCGGAGCCGGAATGTACCTGCACACATGGGCGCAAGGGTCTTCTTGATGTGCCACGAGGGCGTTTGGTGTTGTGTGTTCGCGTCGGGCCCATGCGTGTGTATGGATGCATGTATGTACGTGTGTGCGAGCAGGAAGCACGCACCGGAAACTCATGTAAGGCTTCATGCTCACGTAAGCCGGGAAGTTGGCAGGATCCAGGGTCGGGAGAAAGAGCGGGAAGGTCGCGGTCCAGGGAGACTCATTGGCGTTGTGGACCCAACCAGAGGCAGGGTCTTGGATGTGCGGCAGCTCGGAGAGCGGGTGAAGCTCGGTCCAGAAGGTGCGACTGGTGTTACCCGGCACGGCCATATTCCAGTAGTTGTAGTCACCAAAGGAACGGACGGGCACGAAGCCGTTGAATTGGTTGAGAATCGACCCATCGGCCGAAGCCGCCACAACTGTGAGGGAAGCCAGCTGGGTGGTGTACAAGCCAAGGGGAAGGAGGGAGGAGAAGACGGAGGAATGTCAGAGGGTATGCCACGGGTCAGGAGGTTCTCGAAGTGACAGGGCGAAGAAGGAGGCAAGAGGTAAAAGCGCACCTGGAGTTGGTCAATGGCCGCACGGAACTGAGCCATGCTGCGCGCTCGACCCATGTCCCACCATTGCTTGATATAGCCGGCACGATCGGCACCAGCACGGCGCTATGTTGCCAGAGGCAGGAAGGCATCCGGGAGTCGGTCAGGAGATGGCGGACAAAGCGAACGGCGGAAAAAAAAGAACACAGCAAGGGACCAGCGTACCAGGACGGCCACCTTATTGTGCTTGCGATTGACCACATGGCCGTGGATGGTCTTCTCCACAACCACGGTGTGGGCCTCGTAAGATCTAAATGTGTGTGTGTGTGTGTGTGTGTGTGTGTGTGTGTGTGTGTGTGTGTGTGTGTGTGTGTGTGTGTGTGCGCGTGTGTGGGTATGGGTATGGGTGGATGAGAGCGAGAAAGAGAAAGCAGGAGAGGGAAAATGAGAGGGAGAAGGTCATGGTGACCAGGAAAAGGGCCCAGAGAGCTGGGAAAAAGGCCCGTAGAGGGGGCCAATGTCGCACCCGTCATCCAGCAAGACCTTGAAGGGAAACTCCTCCACTTGCATTTGCATTTCCACACCATCAAAGAGGTATGTGGAGTTGTCGTGCGACAGTTCCACCTCATATACGGTCCAGGGGGTGATGATGTTTACGGTGTGCGTCCTGAATGGGACAGGGCACGCGGGTTAGCTTGCGCATATGGCTGGGCGTGGCCCACATGGGCTGCCAAGTTTGACGGCGAGACGGGGGGCGCACCAGCCGACATAATCGTTGAAGGCAATCTGCAAGTTGGGCCAGGACAGGATGCCCGCGCCATAAAGCTGGGAACAGGGGAAAATGAGCGCGGCAGAAAGGATACAGAGTGAGCGAGACGCCTCAGCGGGCAAGGTAATCCATGGTGGCCTTTGGTCGACGCACATTGACATTTTCCGACTCGATGACAAAGTGCGCCTCGTACCAGCGGAAAATGCTGACGAAGGGCAAATGCGGATTCTGGTTGAGTAGAGTGATGACGTCCGGGGCCACCTTCGGGCCATTCATGGCCCAGCTGCTGGGATGTCAATGAAAGCAACCTCGAGCCGGCCAGGTCTACAGGGAACACCGATTCAGGAACACCCGTCGGGGAAAGGCAAGGAGGCGTGGCGGTGGCGGAGGAGGAGAGGGAGGAGCGGGCACGTACGCATTCGAGCCGAAGTGCTCCCAGTGCTCCTCGGGGATTTGCCGGATGTCATGCAGGTAGTCGACGTAGGCCGAGTAGTGGCGAGTGGGCGTCTCATTAGCCATGCTGGGCAGGGGGCGGAGGAGGAGGGGAAAGCATGTGAGAGAGGGCATGGGAGGGGGCATGGGGGGAGGAAGGTGGTTTCCGGGGGCGGAAAATTGTGCGATAGCGGCACGGCGATCACACGGCAGCGCACCGGAAGTAGTCTGGCTCCTCAGAGGCCCCGTCAGCCGAGGGGGACCACCACTGGGCCTTCTCATTGCCGCTCCAGTAGGCATAGAAGTAGTGAATGCGCACGGTGCTCTTCATGATGTCGAGCGCCGAAACCGGCATGACCAATGTCGTGTTGAAGGGGGCCGTGAGCAGGTCGTCCGGGAACTGGCCAAAGTAGTGGTTGAAGCCAGCCGCAAAGTACTCCAGCTGCTGCACTGTTTCCGGGTGCTGCTTGGCAAATAGATCCTCCGCCACGTTGGGGATGTCATTGGCCCACACAAGTGCGTCAGATTCCTGATCCGAGAGGAGAGAGCGAGTCAGAGCTTGAAGAGGACACAGGGCCGAAATGGATGTCCATATGTGCATGCATGCATGTATGTATGTGTGTGTGTGTGTGTGTGTGTGTGTGTGTGTGTGTGTGTGTGTGTGTGTGTGTGTGTGTGTGTGTGTGTGTGTGTGTGTGTGTGTGTGTGT